ACTCTCACTCTCCCTTTTTGCAACACAACCGAAATGTTGCAACGCGTGAATTATTCCAATGAGAACGTGAGTGAGCATGAGTGGAAGCGGCAACAGCCTCCTCGAGAATAACTCTATTGGAGGAAAATCCGATCTAGATGCAATATTTTCGCATGAATGACTAGAGTAATATATTTCATACTCTTGAATGAACCGGTAACCGAACTGTGTGACCTTGCGTGTGTCGGATCTGTTACGCAAATGTCTCTCGTACGTGTTTTAAGAAGAAGAAAAAAAAAAGAAAAATGAAAAATAGAAGAACGATAATGAGAAACTTAAGATAATCTATATCTAATTTTCTTTTATTTTAGTGTTATGCTTTCATCTCTTGTATCGTGTCTCTGAATTAGACTAAATGTATGTTCTTATTGACATTTTTCACTAGATCTCACGTTACCTTGGAGGGGATAAAATGCATAAGCCTATGAACACGATTTCTCTATTATTCAGCGTTTGTTTGCTTAGTATGAAGTAAAATTTTCGAAGTTTCAAGTAGAGGACTTTCGAGTTTACAGTGTCCTTGAGAAACTGTCGTGCATGTTTACTTTTGGGTTTCATACACTTGACACTAAATAAAGTATAACTAATTGAAAAACAGAGTAAAATCGTAAGAATTGTGGTTATGAGGTATATAATTAAACAGGGTTGTTATATGGTAAGTGATACTAGTAAAAGGTAAGAACCGAATGTTACAGTAATCAAATTTGAGAAATAAATCATATTCAAGGCATTTTTTCCTCACAAAAGAAAAAGGGCAACAAAAGAAAGAAAGAAAGAAAAAGAAATAAGTGGAAAAAAGAAAGAAGAAAGAGATAACACCAAAAAAAGATGAATATAGTAAAAAGATAAACATTTACAATAATTTTTATCACAGAGTGCTGGTATGCCAAGCATCTAAAAAATCCTTTTGACGTTCTGACGATCTCATGTTTATGTTTGAGATAAAAGTATAATTTGTGTCAGAGATCTTTTTTATTTTACTATACGTCAGATTCAGAATCACTTTTAACAAGGAATAACATGTTCACTGCCATTGTCATTCTTAAGAGATTGGATACCTCCAGTCTGCTTGTGACCGGCTTCGAAACTTTTGTTCGATGCTGTTATATCACGAGAAAAAAGTAGATAAAAGAACTCAAAACTAAGGAAAGTGTTTCGTTGAGGATACCAGAGTTCTGACGAGGTGAGAGAGAGACAGGTTGATGGTAAGGGACGTGAGGTTCATCTACTGTCTCTGTGTCTGTCAGTCTCTGTCTGTATGTTTGTCTCTTTCTATTTATGCCTCTCACGTCACATTATCTCTTTCTCTCTCTTTCTCTTTCTTTTACAATCGCTTTCTCTCTCTCTCTATCTGTTTGCGCGCGCGCGCGTGTGCGTGTCTCTCTCTTTCTCTTACACTTATTTTCTAATTCTTTCTCTTACGCTCTTTCTATCCTTCCTTCTCTCCCTCTTTCTGTTTATCTTTCTGTCTGTCTGTCTGTCTCTCTCTCTCTCTCTCTCTCTCTCTCTCTCTCTAGCTGAGCGCGCGCGAGCGTCTTTCTCTTTATCTTACGATCATTCTCTCCTTTACGCCCTTTCACTCCTTCCTTCCTTTCCTCCTTCAGTCTGTTTTTCTGTCTGTCGCTCTCTCTCTTTCACTCTCTCTTTCTATCTCTCTGTCTCCCTCTTCTTCCCTCTTCCTCTCCCTTCCTCTCTCTCTCTCTCTCTCTCTCTCTCTCTCTCTCTCTCTCTCTCTCTCTCTCTCTCTCTCTCTTCCTCCCTCTTCCTCTCCTTCCCTCCCACCCTTTTATTTTCTATCCTTTTCTCTCGCACCCACTCTCTCTTTCTTTCTATCCCTCCCTCCCTTCATTTCTCACTCCCTCCCTTCATTTCTCACTCCCTCCCTTTTCTCATACGCAGCTCACATCGGTGTCTCCGTGTGAGTCCGTGACCAAGGTTACGCTTTGCTTCTGGGGTAATTTTCCCTTAAACTCTGACTTAATTTGTTTATGCATATTCGCAAGGCTTTACGTTGCTTATCTGAGACGCTGCTGAGGATCTTGTTACAGTTACTCGTGCCGCGCGATTGCAAAATTGCTTCTACGCCTGTTGCAACGTATCTTGTCCTTTGGGTTGCTGGAAAGTTGAAGGCGCAATCTCCCTCTCTCTCGACGTCGCTTATTCGTTTGTGCTTGTCAAGAGAAGACACATTTGTGGCATTGTGTTACATAAAAAAATATCTCGTTGGGTAAGATAGATGATAATGGGATAAGTATGAGATGAAAATAAGCCCGTTAATTAATTTGTAAATACGTAAGTAAATAAAACAAAACCTCAAGTGACGTTTTTAGTGGTTGTTGACACGCTGGAGTCTCGGGTAACAGTTTCTGTCCCTCTCATACGTCAGTTTCTGGTGCCCCTTCTGTGTATCTGTCCCACATGCCCGCCTCCTGCTGATTTAACTGTGCATTTCTCTAACCGCCGAGGTGACAGAAGCAGCCAGGCGTAAGATTGCGCGAAAATGAAGTAGAAAAAGAAGTTAGAATTCGGCCGATGGAAAAGGAGAAAGGCTGCCAAAGGAGCGACTTTTGTTTTACTGTCAGGCGCGTATTTGCAGTTTGTAGCCAACTTTTACCGGTCGAAAAAAATGGCACGCTCGGAGAAATCCTTTTTCTGCCCCCTCTCTGTCAGCGCACACGGAGCGAAGGCAAAGATGGCGTGAAAAAAAGAAAACTGCTAATAGGAGGATTCATGTTCTGTCTATTATATTTTTTGATGCGCGAAAAGGTCATGGCTGTGACCTCTGGCGCATTCTCAAATCAAGTCACATTTATATTCAAAATTTCTTAAGTTGATGCCGATGCTTTTTTTTTTTTTTTCTTCTTCTCTTGGCTTTCTTTCACATAATGTCCTTATCTTTTTTTTCTCTTTTTTTTCG